GCAGGGAAGTCCACCCTCGGCAGGAGTTCAGAGGTCAGTGCTGCACTGGGTGGGCTTCAGAGAGGCTGCTCAGGACCAGTGGGAGACGTCTGTCCCTCATGAGACCCTCCACATGGTGAGGGACATCTTAGAGTGAAGGGTGTGTGTGTATGTGTGTGCGTGTGTGTCAGGATGGGGCCCTAGGGGGGGTTGGAGACCAAAGAAGAGAATCTACCTGCATCACCTATTGTGGAAGCAGGATCTGGTGATGGTGCTCCGGCGACACCAAGGGGAGGCTGGGACTGCCTGGTTCTAAGGACTCCACCAGCAACCCTCAGGGCTGGTGACACCAACAGATACAGGGCTTGCCTTTCCCGGGGGGGGACCAGCTCTTTCTTCTGCACAGATGACATTGCCCAAGTGTGTAACGTGAAAAGGTGACAAGATACGTGGAGCTCAGGACCAAAGCGGTGGGGTGGGGACAGAGAAGAGAACAAGCGATTGTCAGCCTCTGAAGGTGTTAAGCTGGTGGGCATGACACTAAGCAGGTGTCAGAAAAAACCTCTGTGCCCCCATATATTGCACCATGTTTTCTGTAACTTGCAACAGGGTTTTATCTTGTCAATTTGCAAGTTTTCTTTCTCTGCTGGCAGCCTCCAGGCTGTATTCTCGACACAGTCCTCTGAGTAAAAATAGATTGAGAATGAAACAATTGAATCAGAAAATGAACAGACACTCTGAAGAAGTTTATACAAAATACAATTCAATTTAAAAAGCTTCCACTTGGAACTCTTTAGTGTACTTATTGCCCCTCCAAATTATGAAGCTTCCATATATTCATAGCAATACAAATATTTTACAGTATAAACTTCTTCAACATGGCTTCATGTATTAATTCTTTTATGAGTCTAAAAAGAACTTTTCAGTGCTCCATAATTTTGTTCTCTTTCCATTGTGTTCCTGTTACATTTCTCTGCACATAAATGACATAAAAGTATAATCCTAAAAATTACGCTAAACAAGTGCTACATGTACGTACCCAAGAGATTTTACATTTTTTGAAGACCTATAACATCTTATAACAAAAAACTGTATCCGCTTTTAGACACACTGTGGAATACTTTGATTATACAGTAACAACTCTGTGATAAACTAATAATGGCTGAGTTACCAGAGTAGAGGTTAAAAGTACAGACTAAGTTGTCTTCTGTGGGTCTTAAGCCTTATAAGTCACCCATGATTCTCAATATGATTTATTGGGTTGACAAGAAAACAAAACAAAACACTTCTTCAAAGTCTCAACTTATGTAAATAAAGTGCAGCATTTCAGCCTTATGGATATCTCTGTCTTGGAGTCTTTTAAACAAACCCTTTAAAGGAGTGGTTTTAGGATTTTCATCAAAACAAGAGTACTTTCTAAACAAAGTGTGTATTTATGTTGAAGGCCAGCTCTGACCTTTTAAGGGATTTCTTGCAGGGAATACCTGGGAGAGGGAAAGGAGAATTTAAGATGTGAAAATCTTGGCAGATACAGTGTGAAAATGAGTATTATTTATACCATCCATTAGAAAAATTCACTTGAGTGAATCTTGCTTTACAAGTAAATTATTTTATCTAGCCAGCACAGAATGTGAATGATCTTTCTTAACTGGATTAGACTAAAGAGTTAAAATGAAAATAAGGAAATAAGGGAATTAATAAAATTCCCTGTTAGCCTTTTTCCTGAAGCACTTCTCAAACTTCTGGGCCATGATTGCCAGAAAAAAACTTCAAAGACGAGGAATTTCTGTGACCTTGGGTTTCAGCTCTGTCATTTTTTTATTCTGTGCTTTTTGTATCATGCAGAGAAAGACGTCTTTCTGGAAATCATCTGGACGTTAAAATATAGAAGTGGCAGTTTCGTTTCAATATAGACTGTTTTTCATAGAAAAGAAAAAGGCCACTAGTGTGTCTTAGCCAGGGCAAGAAGCTTAATGGCAAAGAGCAATGGCAGGCTTCTCTCGTGTTACGAATTCACCCGTAATAGCAATTCTGACAGTGACAGGCAAGTCAGGAAATCCTACTTCTGTTCCTTCAGTTCATTGAAGACAGTGTCTTACTTTGGGGAAATATCTGACCATGTTTTTATGAATAAATAAGGTGGTTTTCTTTTGCACAATGAAGTTTATTTTACAAGACCATAGCTCGCTAGGCCCTTATTGGTTTTGTTTATCCTGGCTCTGGGGAAGAGGGCTGTGCTCTGTTTCTGATAAATTTCCCCTTGTTTTCAGTTATGACAGATATTCCTTTGAATATGGTGTATGAAAATATTCTAGCATCAAACCAAGGATATGTAACCTTATTTATGTCTGTATTCTGTCCTTAAACACAAACAGCTGTGCACACATACATCTGTCTCACGTCTGACCCAGTACTGCTGTCCTGGACTTCATGTACACAAATAAATATTCCCCTTTTTATGGGAAATCGTGGCTAGCACAGCAGGAGTTTCAAAATCCAATGCATTTTTCAAATCTTATTTGCACAAACAAAAAAGGAAAAATACAGACAAGCCAGTTTGGAATTGCTGTTTGGGGCAGTTATGTGAAGAAAGAGAAGGTCATCAGTGGATTCAGGGACTGTGTGCTTAAAAACAGGACATTATTACCTACAAGCCAAAGCTCCCAGCTCCATCCCTGACTCTCCGGCACGCAGAGGCCATCAGAGCAGGCTCGCCAAGCACCTTCTAAAGGAGATGAAAAGCTTTGCTAGGAGAGGGCAAGCTGACTGGCTGGTGGGGTCGGGGGTGGTCGGGTCCTCTCCTGATCGCCCCACCAGCCCCAGTCCGTACAATGCAAAAGGAAGCTCAGAGGCAGTGCAGGGCCATCTGGCTCTGGAAGAAGCAGGTAGTTCTGAGAAGATAAGGTGACGGTATCTGTGCATGTATAACCTAAGATTCTTTTTAATACACAGATCCTGAAAGAGTGAGGATTTCAAAACATAACTCTGCAGGCTTGGAGAGGCCAGTGCCAGTTTCCAGGAAGGAAGTGGGACCTACCCCTGAATTACCCTGCTTATGAAATGAATCAATTATCTCTACAAGAGTAATGTGATTAGAACACATTTCAAAATACAGAGTCAGCAATGTCTATATATAATAAGCTATAAACACAGACTAAATTCTCTCCTTCCCCAAATGCACAGACCCTGAACCAAGGCTCTCCTGGGCCCACATCCTGTTTTAACCACCCGCTAGCTGAGTGACTTCGGGCCTAAACTCTCTGCGCCTTAGTCTCCTCATCTTTAAACAGCTCTAGTAAGAGCACACCCCCTACAGAATACTTGAGGATTAGATGAGCTAATATACTTAACATGTGTATAGATCAGACCCTGGCCTGTAGTACCCATTGTATCAGCATTTACTATTAAAGTCATTGTTATAAAATAAAGGAAGAAGGTGTTGCAAATACTGGTGGACAGCTTTGAAGAATATGAAATAAAAAAACAAGAAAATCTTCACCTCTATAAAAATTTAAGTATTTCTGTTTGACGGAGTAAGATGGGATGAGACCAAAATAGAGCAATAAAAACAAACTTGCAACTCTCCTTTCTGAGGAAAGGATCACAAAGATCCCAGACCATAAAAAGTCAATAAAGATGACTATATACAAATATAAATTTCCAGTATGATCTATAAAGTTTTTACAGCTAGAAAATATAAAGAACTATAAATATATAAGACATTGGAAGTCACTGGATTTTAGAAAGGTCAAAGGGCACAAGCAAGCAATTCAGGAAACAAAACAACAAAAAGTAAATTGAGAGGACACTTAGGGAATCCCAAGGAAAGTAAATTGAGAGGACAATTATAGAATCCCAATAGTTTGATATCCAGACTAGAAAAAAAGTGGAATCATATTGATACCTCTTAACACAAAATAAATTCTAGGAGATAAGTGACCAAAGTGTAAAAAAGTCAAAACTTCAATATTAGAAATAGAAAAAAAGAAAAGATATATTTATGACCTTCATATAGGGAAGAAATTTCTTAGGCCACAAAGATCACAAACCATAAAAAAAAAATCAATGAAGATGATTATATAAAAAGACAAAATTGCAGTACCATCTGTAAAGGTGTTATATTGAGAAAATATGAGGAACTATAAATATATAACAAAATGAAGACAGTGCAATAGAAAACCGGTCAAAGGGCATGAACAGGCAATTCAGAAAAAAACAAACTGAACGGAGGCCATGGAGGGCCTTGTCCTCGGATTACCTTGGAGACAAAATCAACTCGCTCCTCTGATGGCTCTTCTGACCGACACACATGTGCAAAGATGTTCAGCCTCGCCAGTGTCCATGCCCTCCAGCCACAGGCCACCAGGAACGAACCTAAGTATGTTCTTACTTGTTCAAGAAGACTCACTTTGTGTGTCTTCGTGAGACATTGTGGTGAGAGGGCTTGGAAGGACCTTGTTATGGATCTGGTCTTGTGAGAGGTGGTTTGGGGGCAGTTTATAAAGTGTGGCTTTGCTCAGAACTGGGTGTTGTCCAGATGTGGGGTAATTATGTGATCGAGTATTTTGTTAAATCTTCATAGACGGAGAAAGTCTAGAATGAATCTAAAGCTGTGATTGGTAAGGAGGAAGCCATCACTTGTATTAGCCAGAGGGACGTTCGGTCACTTTTGTTTCTGAACACTGTTGGTGTCTTTGTCTACATTCAGACATGATTGTGTAGGACTGGTTTTTGTCCGGATCCTTCAAAGTCACAGAATAGCCTTGTTTGATGTTGATGTTCTGTGAAATTGTTTACTTTCAACTTGAAAGCACCAAGATCTAACTATTTATAATAGTCAGAAATCACTGGGAAAACCTGGAAACAACCTAAATGTTCTTCAGCAGGAGAAAATGGATATAAAAATAAAATAATATGGAACATTAAAAACATACAAATCAAAATTATATGTTGCATATAAATTTTTAAAATATATAAGAATTATATATACAGAATAGAATTTTTAAAACAGATGAAAGATATAATATATTGCTAATGAATATATCATTTGTGATGAAAGTATAAAATATTTATGGATATAATAAGCTATAAATATAAGACAGTGATGTGGGTAAAACTGCAGTATTTCCAGAATCTGTCACCTGGCCTTAGTCCATCCCCACATCAGTAGGTGATTACAAAGGGGATGGAGGGTTAACGTGCACCTGGACCGGAGAGGTTGGGTGGGGTCTTTTTGCACCTGGGTTGTGAGAGACACTGGTGAGCAGAAGTGGATGACTGCTTGTAAGCAATAAATGGGTTTCTCTCACTTTATTGCTCCCTTTAACTGATTTTGCCTTCAAAGGCTATTTGCCCCAGGCTGGAAACATATTTCTCCCCATACCCCCTGCTGGACTTACAGTGGTGGTGTCGTGGAAGGAAAGAAAATAAACTGAGAAATGGATATACTATGGGCTTCAACAATCTCAGGTACCTGACATGTCTTTTAAAAAAGATTTTTTAACATTGTGGCCAAAATGCCAACATTTAATGAATTTGAGTGGTGGATACCTGGGTGATGATTTGTTATTCTTTATATTTAATGCTTGATTTTTTTTCATAATTATAGAAAAATTAAATCACAGTTTCAGGGACTGACACACCAAAATCTTTCAGAATTTTTTTTCTTCATTCTCTCTTTACCTGGGGAGAATCTACTTACAGCTCCCTTTAGTGGAAGTGGAGTTTCCCATAAAATAATATCCTTGCAGGAGGGTTCTGACGACCTTACGCCAGCATTGGAAGTTGACTTTAGGTAGAATTTTTATGACATCAGTTTGCTTCTCGGCTTGAAGCACGTGAAGGAAAGAAGATTTTTAAACTGCTTTCTTTCAACAGCAATATTGTTTAGGAAAAATGGTGAGAGTTTACAAGTTGATCTGAGCCCCAAGTGCTATTGATCCCTTTTTTCAAAGTAAAGCTGCTCAGCTCTTTCATTTGTCTTTAAGTTTACATGCAGAGCCATGTTTTTATACCACTGAGTGTTACTTTTCTAAAAAAGAAAACTGAAAATCATTATGAGTTTATTTGTAAGCTTCATTCTGGGATTTGACAGTTTTCATGGCATGTATTTATAAAACTGTTCAAGCAGCTTGACTTGATATAGTTCTCCTGAGTCAGTATTTTAAAAAGTCAGTTTCTCTCTCTCTCTCTCTTTTTTTTTTTTATGAACCCTTGGAAAGATAATAGTATGGAGTTTAGATGCAGGAGCAATGCCTCCACTACGGCTGGGGATGGAGCCACCACGCATGCTCGGCTGCCCTCTGGACCTGGCACAGCAGAACCTTCCAACCCCACCCACACTGACAGGGCTCAACGATACTTACCAAAAAGGGATTTTTAAAACTCATGGGTCAAGATTAAACAAAAACAGTACTAAAATTATTTAGTGCACATTTATTTGATCTCTAGTCTCTGAATCCATCTGCCTGGAGTGGTTGAAGTGAGGACACTGGGTTCAGACCGAAGTCAGAGTTAGAATTCAGCTGCTCCACATATTTACTGTGTGACTTTGAACAAGGCACAGTACTTTACTGGAGCTCAGTTACTTCATTATAAAATGGGAAAATTATAAATAGCATAATAGGAGCATCATAATGAAATTATAATAATATTGTAAGGATCAAATGAAATAAATATATTTTTACAGCTTAGCATGGGAAGAGGTAAAAAATATTAATTATCATCATCATTAATTGATTGTTCTTTTATCTCCACAGCCTACCACACTACTACAATCTATACTTAACAAGTATTTGTTGAATTAATTGCAAAAGCCAAATCATAATTGTCTTTTAAGTTTTTAGCATAGTCTGGATGGAGACCAGGGAATGAGACACCCTCCTCCCTGCCGACCAGGATAATCACAGCTGGGACGTGAAGAGGGCGGACAAGGGTGGCCAGCATTCCACTGGCTGGTTCGGACTGACGCGCGACAGTGGCATCTGGATAAATCTCTGGCCTAGATGCCGCTAAGTTCAAATGGCCAAAGGACAGCATTCACCATGTTGACTGTTGCAAATACCTGGTACAGAACTGTAACTTTTTCGGAAGCTTTGAGAACAGCCCAAAGATTCATTCAGTCACTTTGAGAAATAATTATAAAGTCTTCACTTGGCATGTTCCTAAAGGTGAGCAGTCTTGGTCATGGCGCAGGGGAGAAGGTGCCTTCAAGACCTCATCATGCGCCCTGCACAGGTGCAGGGACTGTCAACACTCAGATCGCTTCTAGGTCTCCAGACCGTTTCGTCCCAGCTGTGGAACAGAGCAAAGCGGATCCTGAAGCTGTTTGAGAGAGAGGCCGTGTCAGAAGAGTGGAGCAAAGTCCTTTCTCTGATGTGAGAGGAAGACCCAAGCACTAAACAGACCGAACACCACGGTCCCAAGCAGGAATCAGAGCCAAGGAAGCCCCGAATCACCTGGCGGATCACCTGAGCGTGGGAATTTGGGAAGGTCGCAGGTGCTCCGACGGACCTCCAGCTGGCGGAATTCCTCGAGGGCAAGCTCCTTCCAAGGGGCAGGGCACAAACCTTGAAGGCCAAGCAGCAACCTGGGCTTCCGACCCAAGCATTACTTAGTCTGCATGCTGGAGGGATTCGGTGATGGCTAAAAACGGCTGCTCTTCATGGAGAAGTCCAGTGGGCCGGCACTGTGGCCTCCGGAGTCAGGCAGCGGGCGTTTGGATCCCGGCCCTGCAGTTGGCCAGCTGTGCGAGGACAGCCGCGAATTCCCTGCGCCTCTGTTGCTCAGCAGCTTACCTGGGGAAACAGTAAAATTCTCACATTGGAGATCTGTGATGAGGATGAACTGCACTAGTACATCTCACAATGTCTTGCTGGACGTACGGTGAGTACTTGGTACTGTATTGTTATCATAGGCCAAGAAAACCAGGAAGTTCCACAATCTTGAGAACAGGGATGTAGTCTGGCCATTTAATGAAGTAGATGTTTACCAGGAGGGTCTCCCAGAACCTTCAGGTTCGTAATTGTTAGAAATGTAGCATTCTTCTGGGTCTTACAATGGGGTCTGCAAGGGTGTCCAGCACAGAAAATCCTTTTTTTAACCTCAGACCTTTCACAGGCCTTACAGGCGAGCCTGTGGAGAAAGGATGACGTTTATGGGGCATTAATGTTGACGTTTATGGGGCATTAATGTTGTACCAGGTTTCAGTTCTCGCCCTCCTGCCTCCCCCTCCCCGCAGCCTCACCGTTGAACACGGGCTCCTCAGCAGGCTTTGGTCCCTTCAGTTCTTGGGCCAAGTCCGACTGCGGCAGGAAGGGGCTTGAGCCAAGCCTTCTGGGGGGCTGGAGGCCCGCTCGGGGGTCCTGGGCCAGGAGGGGCCCTGGGAGCTGGTGCAGCCGCGGCCCTCTGGGATCTCCCTACCCTCCCACCGGTCCCTGTGCTGGGTCCGCCTTCTGCCCCGGGTGCCGCCAGGCGAGTCCTTTGTGAAATAACAGAGACTCAGCAGTTCTCTGACTCCTGCTAGTGCGTTCTGTTCACGACATGCTGCTGCGGCAGGTAGATGAGAAGCCGTCTCAGGCTGAGTGTGTGTGTGCGTGTGTGTGTGCGCGTGCGTGCGTGTGTGCATGCATGTGTGTGTGTGCGTGTGCATGTGTGCGTGTGTGTGTGCATGTGTGCGCGCGCGCGTGTGTGTGCGTGTCCATGTGTGCGTGTGCGTGTGCGTGTGTGTGTGCATGTGCGTGTGTGCGTGTGCGTGTGCTTGTGCGTGTGTGTGTGTGTGCGTGTGTGTGTGTGTGTGTGTGCGTGCGTGTGTGTGCGTGTGCGTGTGCTTGTGCATGTGTGTGTGCTTGTGCGTGTGTGTGCATGTGCGTGTGTGCGTGTGTGTGCATGCGTGTGTGTGCGTGTGCGTGTGCGTGTGCTTGTGCATGTGTGTGTGCATGTGCGTGTGTGTGCGTGTGTGGAGGAAGGGCTTTGAAGGAAGGACAGAACATGAGTGTCTGACAGCGTTTGAGTGTCTGGACTCATTCAGAGCAGGTGCATCAGGGCGGAGCCCTAACCGCCCATGAAGGGGGTGATACAACGGCAGAGGAGGTGACGTACACAGTCCGAGTCCACGAGGACCTGCTTTTCCTTCCGGGATAATTGACAGTTGGATGTGATACGCGAGTCCCGGAATCCCTCTGCGCCTTCCTGCTGAGGCCACAGCCGGGACGCTCATCACTTACCCAGTCCATCTGCTGCTTCCTGGGGCGCGTCCTCTCGGGCAGCAGGGACACAGGGGTGTAGTGTGCGGCGAGCAGCGCCCGCGTTCTAGAGCCCCGAGCAAAGGAGCAGGCGTCACGGGCACGCGCAGGAGCCCTCGCTCCCCCTCGGAGGGGACGCCGGCGGGAGGTTCCCACACTGAGGCCGGGAGGACGGGGGAAGGGCGCCCACCGGGCCACCCACGCGGCGCCCATGTGCGCGTGAGCTTGAACGCCCTGCTGCTGGGGACAGAGGCCCGGAGAGGAGCTTCCCGAAGCCCCGACCGCAGAGCAGAGTAACAGGGCTTTAGGTGGTGCTAGAAGTCCTGGAGAGAAACCCGGCAGAGAGAGCGGGAGCTCCTGAGGCGGGGCACGGGCTTCGCGAGGGAGAGGCGCCGGGCAGAGGGAGGCCAGCCTGGCTGCAGCGGAGCCCCGGAGAAGCGCCCGTGGAGGAGGGCAGGGAGGTGGCGGGGCGCCCGCCTGGGGAGGCCCCCGGGTCACTTGGGGTCCGTCGTGCCGCCGTGGTGTGGCAGGAGCTGGAAGGGCGCTGGGGCCGACCTGGGAGCTTGGCTCCCTTACAAGGCCGCTCTGGCGGCTGTGGTGGCAGTCCTGCCCCGGGACTAGCCCCCAGCCGCAGGAGGGACTCGAACCGCTCTCCTCAACAGTGTGGACGGCCAGGGGCAGAGATGCACTGTCGGCCCCTGTTGGGCAGTGACCCCGATTTGGGTTAGGCGTCCATCTCCTCCCGCTCCGTGACCAGCGGTCTGACGGACCCCTGCCCGGTGCCCAGTGAGGAGACGGGGCTGTGACCTAGTGTGACCCATGCGCCGAGTCCATCCCTCTCGCCCGAGTCCGGGAAGGAGCGTGCGACTGAAGGCCGCGGGGGAGGCCCCAGTGGGCGGATCGGGGACCTTGGGCATCGGACTGCTCTTCCGGGACGGACACCAAGATCTGGTCCGTGTGGCCCTTGGCATCTGCGTAGGGACTGACCGCGTGACCACAGGAGCTTGCAGTTTGCACACAGGTTCTGTCTGCTTACGTTTGGCGGGTCAGGGATAGCCTTTTTATTGTCATAAGACGAATTTTTAATATTTCTCTGCAGCAGGCTTTTATATAGTTTCTCATGCTCAGATGGTAATAACTGGCAAACAGTATTGTGCTGAGAAGTAAAGCCAAGAAAAGACAAGAAGACTTCCAGGAATCCTCCTTCGTGAGACAAAAAACAGGAATTGTAACACTGACCATAGCACAAAGGGACAAAAAGCAAGAAAAGGAATTCAAAAGGGTCAACAGGGACCTCCAGAACACAAACACGAAAACTGCTTTTCAAACCCTAAACTATTCGGTTTCACTAACTCAGAGCCCCAAAAGGGGAGTCAGTGCTTTCTTTTTTTTAAGGGGACATTTAGAAATACTTTTAAAGAAATCATTTGGCTGGCTGACCTTCAAAACAGCCCCTAGTCTGAAACTATAGTCTGATTGCATATGAATAAATTTAAGCTAAAATAATGGAATATATTGAACTGTTTTCCTCATTCAGTCACACATCAGTATCACAGTGGTTCAAGTTTATTTATCCATGCTGTGTTTTAGCCTTACCAAGAGCCCCTTTAAAAATTGTGGAATTTAAAACTAATACACTATGTACATATATACAACATATGTTGCAGATTTGAGATTTATTTAATACTAACCACTATTACCACTTGTTAAGTACTGTCTAAATTTTAGAAATTTTGCACAAGTTTCCTAATTCTCATAACAAGCCCTTAAAATGTGTATAAGAATTTAAATTAGGGTGTAGTGAAATAAGCATAATGAATTGCCCAATGTCAAAGGGCTGGCAAATGGGAGATGGGGGTAGGAGTGGAGTTTTTGGCCAGACGTGGTATGAAGTGTTTCACACATGTGTTGACTCTCAGACAAGTCCAAGATGGATATCTTCACCAAGAGTTCAAAGTAGACCTGAAAAATGAGTCCTTCTGCTTTAAAAATTGATGTGTGTCAACTTCCAAGTTATTAGTATATTAAGGCTTGGCAGCCTTCAGATCCTTCCCTTTTCCATAGAACCCTTTTAGGGTGGTCTGATACTTGGACCATGTGGAGTGGTTAATATCACAGGCACTGGGTTTAAATGGCCTCACGATGTCTTTTAGCTTCAGAAATTACTAGTTATGTGACTGGCCAATTGATCAACCTCTCAGGTCTAAAAGACATTGTTACCACCTTAAAAGTAATACACTTAAAATCTATTCCCACTTGTCAGGCTATGGCTTCCTAACACAGTAAATGTAAGAAAATAGAGTAGCAAATTCATTGCATGGAATTATTTCACTAATAATGTCAATAAAGCAGACAAAATAATCTATGGGAAGCTTTATCTCTTAAAAATCATTAAAAATATTTAGAAGTTTGTTTTGGACTTAACACTTTTTGTGTAAACTCTCAATAGAAATTATAGAGATTAAATAATTGTACTTAAATGATAGGTCTTCACTTTCAGTGAGAACTAAGTTTATGGGTACTTGCATCTGACAGTTTTCAAATGGCCCACTTGTATGGTGACTTGTGAACAAATAGTAAACTGACAGTAAACTGAAGGAAAACTTAGATGAACTGATCAAAAATATTTTTTTAATCAAATGGGGTTTTCTTTTTCCAAGATGTATGTAAGATCTTTAAAATTGTTGATTATATTTGATACATTCTTGAGACAGTCCAGACCAAAAGATGAATCACAATTGAATTATTTTCAAATTTGTATTTTAATTTATCTGTTTGTTGAAAATCTAGAATCCAAATTTGGAGTCTTATGTTTACTAGAGTTCTTTAGCTGGGTCTCTTTGATAGTCATATTTATTGTTTGTCATTTTCTCTCTTTTGTCAAAGTCTGTTACCCATAGAGGACCAATAAACAAATTCATGAGTTCAAGTAAAAAAATTACGGCAGCCTATCATCAGGTTTCCTATTACTTAGGAAACAGAGGTTTAAAGCTAACAAAAGGGAGAATAATTGCGGAATTTCAGGAATTACACATTCCTTCTGCAAATATTTATGGAAACCCTAGGAAATGCTAAGAATGAACATACCAACTAAGAGCATAAACTCTGGAGCCAGGCTGCCGGGGTGAAACCCAGGCCCTGCTGCTTGCTCTGGGGGTGACGTGGAACAAGTTACCTGATTTTCTTGCTCCTGTTGTCTTACCAGGAAAATGGGGATCATAATAACAGAATCTCATGTATATTGTAGGTAGTTGTGACTGAATGGATGAATGTCAGTTAAAGATTGAGAACAGCGCCTTCCACATTATGGGGGTGACCAACGTAGGAGTTAGTGAGTATGCTTATCATTAGGATTATGACCAGGGGTCTCATACAGTCATTGCCCTCATAGGGCCAATGAGACGCATTTTAGGATGGGGAGTTGATATTCACCAAAGACTTACTATGTTCAGATACAGTAGAATAATTTTATTTATTGTATTATTTAATTCTTAGAACAACTGTTTCAAGGAAGGTTCTAAACTCTTTGTAGTGAAGAGGTGAGAAAATTGGAGCTTACAGTGATAAAATACATTTGCTGACATTTCAACTAGTAATGATGAAACCAGAATTCAAACCAAAGGGTAGTCATACATGAGGCTGGTCAGTTAGAGGAAGTACATCAAACACTTAGTAGGAAGACAGCATGGGGGGGGTGGATCAAAGTACCCAAGGCAGGGGCGTGCCTTCCGGCTTTTCCACCTCAGAGCACCTGTCCCTGGGCAGTCCCGTTGACGTCTCTGTGTTTCAGCTTTCCTGCCTATAAAATGATCAGAATAGTATCTCACAGCAGAGTTAATACAAAGCGTGGAATGAGATGAAATATGCCCAGTGCTTGACTGGTACCGAGTGTACATTTTTATCTCATTTGTGAAAAATGGTGTAAGTAGTTGTCTATTCCACCTTCTCACTTAAGGACCAATAAACAAATTCATGAGTTCAAGTAAAAAAATTACGGCAGCCTATCATCAGGTTTCCTATTACTTAGGAAACAGAGGTTTAAAGCTAACAAAAGGGAGAATAATTGCGGAATTTCAGGAATTACACATTCCTTCTGCAAATATTTATGGAAACCCTAGGAAATGCTAAGAATGAACATACCAACTAAGAGCATAAACTCTGGAGCCAGGCTGCCGGGGTGAAACCCAGGCCCTGCTGCTTGCTCTGGGGGTGACGTGGAACAAGTTACCTGATTTTCTTGCTCCTGTTGTCTTACCAGGAAAATGGGGATCATAATAACAGAATCTCATGTATATTGTAGGTAGTTGTGACTGAATGGATGAATGTCAGTTAAAGATTGAGAACAGCGCCTTCCACATTATGGGGGTGACCAACGTAGGAGTTAGTGAGTATGCTTATCATTAGGATTATGACCAGGGGTCTCATACAGTCATTGCCCTCATAGGGCCAATGAGACGCATTTTAGGATGGGGAGTTGATATTCACCAAAGACTTACTATGTTCAGATACAGTAGAATAATTTTATTTATTGTATTATTTAATTCTTAGAACAACTGTTTCAAGGAAGGTTCTAAACTCTTTGTAGTGAAGAGGTGAGAAAATTGGAGCTTACAGTGATAAAATACATTTGCTGACATTTCAACTAGTAATGATGAAACCAGAATTCAAACCAAAGGGTAGTCATACATGAGGCTGGTCAGTTAGAGGAAGTACATCAAACACTTAGTAGGAAGACAGCATGGGGGGGGTGGATCAAAGTACCCAAGGCAGGGGCGTGCCTTCCGGCTTTTCCACCTCAGAGCACCTGTCCCTGGGCAGTCCCGTTGACGTCTCTGTGTTTCAGCTTTCCTGCCTATAAAATGATCAGAATAGTATCTCACAGCAGAGTTAATACAAAGCGTGGAATGAGATGAAATATGCCCAGTGCTTGACTGGTACCGAGTGTACATTTTTATCTCATTTGTGAAAAATGGTGTAAGTAGTTGTCTATTCCACCTTCTCACTTCGTATCTACTAATGTCAAAGCCAAGTTTCTAGAAATTATGATGCAGGCTCTACATGATTATTTGGCTAATTTACGAGAGCTGAACTCATCATTTAATTACCTATGAAGACCAGAACATTCTAGGCAGCTGGTAAGCATTGCTACAAATATACTGGCTATTAACACTGAAAGATGGGGTTCCCATACCACATGGTAAGTGATTTGAATATTTAGCACGTGTATTTCCTAAGGAGCTGCGTCACGGGGCCTGGGCATGCTGCTTGCAGTGAGGGTGACCCTTAGCAGCGGCAAAGCAGACCGAGATGGACAGTGACAGAAACAACACTTCCTCACTCATGGTTCAGAGAGGAGCATCTTTCAATTAATAGCAGTGACATCAACCAAAGGCCATGTCAATAATTCCTAAAATTCAACAAATGGTTTGAAATTATTGGAACGACTTGTTGAGCCTTGGGCACAACTCATACTGCTTGGTAAGCAATTCTAGCAATTCTGTCATTAATATGTTCATTTATTCAGAAAATGATTAAAAAATTTTTTTGATTTCTCAGTTGATTTTATGTTAAATTTTATCCCTGGTATTAAGTACGTTGAATTACATGTGATTATGTATAGGTACTAGAGAGACCACGGCACACAGGGAGCAAAGTTCCATATGGGCTTTAAAACATGTCTCAGTAAGGAGGACGGAATACTCTCTCCCAAACAACCCAAATGTTAACTGTTTTCTAAGCAACTTGTACAGGCAGTGTGCAGAAAGGAGTAAAGAGGGGACAGGGCAAATCTGTTAGCCTCACAACATGTCCTAAAATGACAGTGGGATAGCTGACAGCATGCTTGCTAAAGTTTTTTCATATGGCTCGTTTTTGTCTAATATCATTATTCCCTCCTTTCCCAGATGATTGTCTTTAGTTGTGAGTTTTCTCTTCTGCATCTGAGAACCATCTGTATTTCCCATGCACCTGA